GCCTCTTCCCTGGGCACCTTCTGACACGTCTGTGTCAGGCGTGACCATGAGCAGAGCCCTGGCAGTCTGGGCGTGGCCTTAACACAGGGCAGGTGGGGCACCTCAGGGTGACAGGCAAGGTCCTGAAATCCAGCCACAGAAGAAGAGGGCCTGAGGAAGGGGGTTCCACAGACCTGGAGTGTGTCCTAAAGACCAGAGAGAGTAACAGAAGGCCCAGGAGCCTTTCAGTACATATAAGGGCCATGAGAGGGCACCGGGAAGAGGGTCTTGGGCACTGGAGGAAGACACCACAGGTGGGCCTTGGAGGGTGTCACTGAGGCTGGGGATCAGTGGGTGCCAGGGGACTCCGCCCTCACGTCTGGGTGGAGAGGATGACTTAAGACAGGTGAGCCCAGGTGTGGACTGGCACGTCCCCTCTGAGCTGGCACCACACCTGGAAGCGGGAGGCAGCAGGTTGGTTGGCAAAGAGGAAAAACCACCTGAGATAAGGGGAGGGGCTCAGAGACTGACAGAGACAGAGGGAGGGACAGGGAGACGGAGAGATGGAGATGGGAGGGGTGGGGAATGGGCACAATCCCCCAGAGACCTACCAGAAAACTCACACCTGTCCCGTACCCATATGGAGTTATGTTCCTAAATTTGAGATTCTGATAAAAGTTATGAGCTTATTAAGGTGCCGGGGTGGCTCAGTCGGTTGAGCATCCGACTTTGGCTCAGGTCATGATCTCACGGTCCGTGAGTTCGAGCCCCACGTTGGGCTCTATGCTGACAGGTCAGAGCCTGGAGCCTGCTTCAGATTCTGTGTCTCCCTCTCTCTCTGCCCCTCCCCTGCTTGCACTTTATCTCTCTCTCTCTCCCTCCAAAAAACAAAACAGAACAGAAAAAAAAAACATGAAAAGAAATTTTTTAAGTTATGACCTTATTTTCTAAAAATGCAAGTAGATATATGACCCAGCATCTTACACAACTTAGGGGGACTCATGAGCCACAGAGGCCCTGTGACCCCAGATAAGAAGGTACCTGGGTGTACTTTTCCCCCCACAGCTGCTGTAACAAACTCCACAATCTTATCGTGGCTTAAAACAACCCAAGTTTATTATCACACGGCTCTGCAGGCCCCGGTCCCACATGAGTCACGCTGGCCTGAGATCCAGGGGTGGGTTCCCTCTGGAGGCTCCGAGGGGAAGCAGATCCCTCAGAGCCGGTAGCTTCTGGATGAGCCCTTCTCAAGCTGTGTCCCCTGGTTCTCTCTCTTCTGCCTCCCTCTCCCACTTTTAAGGAACCCTGATGACATTAGGGCCAGCAGATGATTCAGAATAGTCTCCCCATCTTATCAGCAATTGTAACTCCACCCGTGACTTTGCCATGTGAGGGAACATAGCTACAGGTTGCAGGGACTGGGATGAGAACATCTTTGGGGCCATCGATCTGCCGACCACCACAGGTAAAGGATGTTATCAGATGACAGACAAGGTAAGAGCACACACATGGAAATGGGGCCCATCCAGAAAGGAATCAAAGAAATGCAAATTATCAACCTGAGACCCTGTGCCTCAGTCTCATGGGCCAAGTGATAGGAAACAGAAAGCAAGAGGGATTTGCGGAAAACTTTTAAAAAGTCACCTGGCGCTCTGTCCCCTCCCCTGGCCACATAACCCTCCCACCCAGGGCCTTTGCACGCACCTTGGCCCCTCTCAGACTCCTGCCTTCCCAGGGCCCTGCCATGACCATAGCTGAAATTGCAGTGCAGCTTCCCCACCTACCCAGCTCTCCACCCCTGGGCTCTAGCAGCCACTACACACAGTACAGTTCATAGCCACCCAGCTCCCCTGGAGGGCAGGGTCCCAGTGCTGGAGCTAGAGGGGCAGCCCTGTGGTACAGCTGACTCCAGGCCTCATCCTTACCCAGAGCTAACAGGGTGCGTCAGGCCAGCCAACCTGGCCTGGGATGTCTGCTGGGGGCCCTCACCTGGGGGCCACCTCACTACCAGAGGCCAGAGCAAGGATGCCCACACACGGCAGTCTTGAAGTTCCCCTGGGGCTCGGTGGGCCACCTGTGCAAGTGTGGGCCGTGGTCAGACCCCGATGGAGCATGTGGCCCCCACAGCTGCAGCCTGTCCCAGCCCAGCCCCTCCAAGCAGGTACCATGCTGCACAAAACCAGACATCATGCACAAAATCAGGGCCTGGCCATGGAGGCCACAGGGTCAGCCTGACTCCCCACAGCCAAGACTGGAGAGAGGCAGGTAGCCCCTGAGTACTGGGGTACAGGGGCCTGAGCCCTTGGGGAGCCCAAACCAGCAGAAGGAGAGGTGTGAGGCCATCCCTGTGTGTCCCGCCGGGGATGGCAGAGTGAAGGAGAAAGCGCTCAGGTTGCCTCTGGCACAGGAGGGCAGTCTGTTTACAGACTGCCCACAGATGTCATGGTTGACACAGCAGTGCTGAAAGTCTCTGTTTTTCTTGATCCCAGTGTCACCGGACAGGCCCAGACCTGGGGTCCTGCAACCGACATGCTCGAGAAACATGCTAAGAAAGGGTGTCCGCTGCAGCTGGGGCCAAGAGAATAAGGATGTCCCTTGCGGTCTGCTAGGAGGAGGCACGTCTAGGGCTATGCTGGGGTCCTGGTCAACCTGTGCAGGGGTCTGGGACATGTAGCTCTCTGGGGAAACATACAAGGAGGAGGTGAAGGCTGCCTACAAGGCCAGCAGGGAAAGGAAGGAAAGGGGGCCAGGCAGAGCTTTCATCCTGCTGGGAGGGCCTGCTTTTTCCTTAGAGCAAGAGGACAGGACTGCAGGGGAGACACTGAGGGTGCAGCTTGGCAGGAAGGAGGGCCTGGGTCACACCTCCCCTTCACCTTTGGACAGGGACAAAGAAGGGTGCCCACAGCTCCATTCCACATTGACTGGGGCTGACCAGAGCCAAGACAGGGACACTAGGCCAAGACCCTGGGGCAGAGCCACTGGTCAGCCAGAGGACCCTCCAAGTGCCTCACCCTGGCCCCTCAGGGCTCCACAGTATGGAGGCTCCCCTGAGGACAGACATGGGAAAGCAGGAAATCTGGTGTCACAGAGCAAGCTGGGGCACACAGGGAACTCAGATGGCTGCCGGAGGCCCCGGACAGCAGGAGGGCATGGCTCTCGGAAACGGTGACCCAGCCCCTCCCAACACCAAGCAGCCCTAGACCTCCAACATCAAACCCCCCCACCACCAGAGCCCCCCCCCCCAGACTCTGGGGGGAGGACACAGGCCCTGTTCTCCCTCCAGGTGTCCAGCTGGAAGACCCTGCCCCGCCCCCGCCCAGAGCAGCTCTCACCTGCTGCCATACACCAGAGCAGAAGCTGACTCCACCCTGGACATCAGCACATGGGGTTTGGTCCCCAGCTCCTCCCAGGCCCCCGTACTGACATAAGGAAGAAAGCCAGCCCTGAAACCGAAACCCAAACCCGACATTCTGGTTCTGCAGCACCTGCAAGCCCTGTGGCCTCCTCCAGTGTCAGAGTTAACACCCAGAAAAGCCCAAAGCATGAACCCAACAGCAGAGTCACTGTGGGCCTGGCTATCTGCTGCACAACATACTCCTGGCATAGAACATCACAGTTATTAGCCACAGTAGGACCTGTTCCCATCACCAACCCTGCTGCCTCAGGTTGTGACCTGCTGGAGCCCACAGACCTGAGCACACACCTGAGCTGGGGCATGCCCGGGCCAGGCCACATCCACCACCCGAAGCACGGTGCTCAGGAGTGAGGGCACACCCACCCGAGGCAGGGAACACCTGGGCTAGCACGCGGCACCTCCCTGTGGCCACACAGTGTGCCCGAGGCTTGGGTGCAGCCGGCACAGAGCTCACTAACCAGTGTCCTCTCCAGGGTCCCCCCTCAGCCTCAGCAGCTGTTTGGGAGAAATCACCTCACTCACGCAGATGCAGGCTTAGATCTAATTATGTGGCACCCCAGTGACCCCAGTACTGGGATGAGTAGTGTCCCCCCAAATTCCCATCTACCCAGAACATGTGACTGTGAACTTATTTGGAAACAGGGTCTTCACAGACATAACCAACTAAGGTGAGGTTGTACTAGATGGGAATGGGACCTAATTGTGTGACTGGTGTCCTTCTGAGAGGAGGGATTTGGACACAGGCACATAGAGGGGAGAAGGGGACAGAGCCTGGAACAATGCATCTACAGGCCCAGGGGCACCAAGGACCGGCAGCACCCAGCAGAAGCTGGAAGAGACAGAAAGCCTCCTCCCCTAGAGCCTTCGGAGGGAGCCTGGCCCTGCCACACCTTGATTTTGGACTTCTGGCCTCCATAACAAGGGGAGAATGAATGTTGTTTAAGCCTCCAGTCTGTGGTCGTTTGTTACAGCCGCTGCTGGGTACTAACTCACCCTTGAGAGTGTGGAGGTCACCAGCCTAGTGCAGACCAGCCCCTGGGGGGCCAGAGACTTGCCGCGGACTCAGGCATTTGGGGGGAGCTGGGTCAAGGGGCAGCATCTGGGTTATCAGGAAAGGGAAGGCAGAGGCTGAGGGAGGCGGGGGAGGAAGGAGGAGGTGCATGTGTTTTCCGAAGCCCGAGAGTAACAGCCGTACTTACAGTTGGGCCCAGAATGAAAGGCCACGAGCGGCTGGGCTGCGGGGCTCCCTCAGGTGTGCTGGCCCCAGAAGAAGCCCTACACGGACACCAGGGAAGCGCGTGCACACCCCACAGGGTTGCAGACAGGCACACCGCTGCCAGTGGCCCAAAAGTGACCACGGCTAGCAAAACACAGTCTTTGAAAAACAAAACCAACCAAAAAATAAGTATTTGGCTCCGTAAATCTCCATCATAAGAAACCACTCTAAATGGTCCCCGAGCTTTGTACAAAGCCTGGTGCTGGGCATCCTCCAGGGGCTCCGGCCCCAGAGCCCTACCCAACACACCAGCCCAACACAATCCCGTCAGGTGCTTTGGAAACACAGCATGAAATGGTACACAAGGCATTTTAAGACACTGGAGTTTATTTCCTATGGACGTTTCTTTTTTAAAAAAAATATAATAACTTAGTTTGCATCTTACAACATTTCCAATCAGTCAGGGAGTCCTTGGCCAGGACCTCGTGGGGTCAGACGTGGCTTGTGCGCCGGGGAGCCCAGGTCCGAGAGCCCGCTGTGGCAGCAGCGGTGGCCACCCACAGTCACTCTGTGCCCATCTCGCAGGGGTTCAGGCCCTTCTCCTCAGCATCCTTGTACATCCTTTGGAAGTCCTTGAAGCGCGGGGCGCAGCCAAGGTGGGCCTCCCCGAAGTGTATGTGGCCCGTGAAGAGGAACTCCCCACGTCCGGGCCTCACACCGCACTCCAATAGCGTGGTGACGTGCCCCCTCCAGCCACCGCCCTCCGGGGCTGGCCGGAAGACAGTGCTCTTCTGCCGGTACAGCCGGTTCACGTGCAGGTGGATGGCGGACTCCTGCTGCTCTGGTTCGTGGGTGACGTCCTGGATGGAGCCTCGGACGACTACGGAGGCAAGAACACGGGAGTCAGTGGGGTCACCAGGGGTGACCCTGCAGGGGCTGACCCTGAATTCTGCATTCCAGAAATCCCATTAGAAAGACCAGTTCAGACATTTGAGGCCCTCTAGGGGTTGTCCCTGCCACTCAGACTCTGTCAGGGATAACAGCCATATAAGTGGGGAGAAACAGAAGACAGAAGTCACATTGTGTGCATCAACGTTTCAAGTTAGAACAAGACACAACCGCAATTAACACACAACATCTACTGCTGCCCTGTATCCAGGTGGGACAGAAACGGGGCAGCTCAGAGGGGAGGGGGTGATGGGAGGGAGCTGGGCAGAGCAGGCCCAGGGCAAGGTCCCCCATCTTCCAGATGCAGGACCAAAACGTGGAAAGGAGCTCTGCACTCCCACCACACTACTGCCCTCCGAGCTGGAGGCGCTCAGAGCAGGGTCCAGCCGGGCTGCCTTCCCCCCGCCCAGAGTGCTTCCCCCCCCTGCTGCCCAAGAGCAAAAACACGCAGCTGAGTCCTGATCTCAGCTCCGGAGCCCCCAGGCTCCTCAGACCCCCAGGACCAGGAACTCCTGCTGGAGCGTCCACAGGGGCCCAGAGGAGAGCAGGACTCTGAGGTGAGGCTAGACCATGCCTTGGAGGAAAATGCTCAGTGACCACCTTGAACAGGACTCCCACCCCTCTCATCCGGCACAGATCTGTCCCTCCCCTATTACACCTCCAAGCCCAATGCCCTCAGCCGTCTCCTCCCCAAGCTGAGTGCCAGCACTGGAAGGCCCTCCCAGGCCCAAGCGGGGCTCTTGACGTGTGGCAGGAGCACGAGGACACTTACCGAAGTCACTGGTGCAGACCGCCAACAGCACCTCTGTGTCGCTGCAGGGGCGGCACGGGGCTGCGGGGAGAGAACAGGGTTAGGAGTAGGGTCTGCGGGACACAGACCCCGCTCACACCCACCAGGTCCCGTAAGAGCTCTGACCTCAAGGGAACAGGACAGAGGACCCAACCTCGGCCACCACACGGGGGGCGGGGGCTGATGAATCCAGGGAACCCCAAGCTCAAGATGTGGCTATGAAGGGCGTGCACCGCACCCCGAGGGACAGTGGGCGTCCGTGCTGGTCCCCACCTAGCTTGTTGGTGCAGCAACTGCTGGGCCCCGGGGCAAACCACTCTCCCAGGCCCATCACCAACGGGAAACCAACCTGAGCTGGTCGGAAGCTACGTCCCCCACACCAGGCTGGCTGAGAGTCGCCTCCTTCCCAGCCTCCACAGCCACACCAGCCACTCACACAACACCTGTTCCCCAGGTCCCCATCTGTAGCCGAGACCAGAAGGTCAGGGCACTGGTTGCCGAAGGTGTCGGTGAACATCGAGGGTCACGTCTGCAGGCCGAGGCCGTGGGGCTCTCGTCCAAACAAGTCCCAGCCATCAGCACAGCCCCCTTCCCCAGACCCCTGACCTCAGACCAGATCACTGCCTGCAAACACCGTCTACGGCAAGCCTGGTTCACAGAATCCCCAAACCCCCACAGCCTGGCGGGGTGAGGGTGGGGGCTGGCTTCCTCCAGCCAAACCAGGCCCCACCCCACTAACTTCTGCCCCAGCACGGCCCTCACCCTAACTTCCTCAGATTGGGTGAGGCCTCAAGAAAGGCGGGGGGGCACAAGCCTCTGGCAACTCCCCCCAGACCACGGCACTCCTAACCCAGCACTGGATTTGGGAGGACACAACATGAATTGGCAGTCACACTGCACTTTTCAAGGCCTCTGCCCCCTGGCCGCTGAGTCTCTAGGGTCTGGCACAAATCCGCCCAGCTCAGGCAAAGGTTAGGTATGAAGTCTTGCTGGAATAAGATCACCTTCTCAAGGCCCCGGAACGTCCTGGCTTTGGCATTTGCTGGCCCTCACACGCAAACCGGGTGAGCAGTCACCTGTACCCTGGCGGCAGCAGACTCGAGGCCTCGGGGGCAAGGCCAGGCACCGAGCAGCTAGAGCTCAGAGAGGCCTTCTGGGGCGCGGGGCACAGGGTCTGTGCTGCCCTAGGCAGCACGGGGTCTCTGCGGACCCCAGGGGGTGGACAGGAGTTTCCAAGCACTGGCCCTGGTGGTCCTGCCCTGGGCAGGGGAGGATGTGTGTGCCCCAGGCCAGCTCAGGGGGACGTGACTCATTGGCCCACACACTGCCTGCCGCTTCTATCAGGTTCTCGGGAACCTGGCGAAGCTACAGGAATAGCAGAGCCGGTTGGGTGTGTTGAAGCCTGGCCAGCCTGGCCGAGAGGCTGTCCTACCCAGCTCCAAATCCCAAAGACTGCTGCCCACCTAGGGCACTTTGCTTCCATGTATAGACCCCCAGCCTCAAGGCCTCTCTTAAAAAAGAAGGCAGCCCACTGGGGGTCCCCTACCCTGCACACCCCTCCAGCGGCCCGCTGCCCACACACATAGGGCATGACGAGGCCGGGCTCTCTAGTTCTGCTCAGAGGCAAGGTCTAATTTCAGCCCCTGTGCCAGGGGGTCAGAGGCGTCATCCCGGGCACCCCTCATAAAGCATCTGCCCAGGAGAGAGGAGCCCCTGGGGGCCAGGCCTCTAGATGCTCCAAGTGAGGGTGGGTGGGAAGCTCGGTCCACACAAGCTCTCTAGAGGCACATCTCAGGTTCTGAGTTGGCCGAGACAGACCACAGGCAGTGCCCACAAAGGCAGCAGTGGTACAGCAACAAGCCCAGGCCACACCCGGCAGTCAGATACCCGGCCTGGCGGCCCGCAACTCACCAAGCCCGAGAGCTTGACCCTCTCCGTGGACACAGGCCCGGGGATGCCCGCTGAGGGCTAAGGAGGAAGGCGGCAAGGAGCCTGTCCGGGGTGGCCACCTACTCACACCCCCACTGCACTGCCGAAGCTGTGGGGGTGCCTGGGGCCCCGGCGGAGGGCAGTCAGCAGCCCGCAGATCCTCCCACCAGAAGCCTCAGGGAGCCGATACCACCACAGCTGAGCTAATAAAGTGCCACCCTGGAGACTTCCCTCATAATTCTGAGTTTTACAAAGCACAGGTCACCTCATTGGAAAATCCAGTCTGTGGATGCCAAGAGAAGCAATCTGGAAACAATTATTAATCGGAGTTGGGCTCATAAAGGCAGTGAAATGTGCTGGTTTCGGACACATTGAATCTTGTTTCCTTGCAGGGGAAGGTGAGGAGGGAGCAGCCAAGAGCCCAGTTGGGTTTACAGTTCTTTGAGAGGGGTTGGCTGAGGTGTGGGCATCTTAGGGAGAGTCTTCCGGAATGTGCACAAAATGAACTGAAGAAGGAAAACACAGGGTCAGGGAGAGCAGCTGGGGCTACTGCAGGGACCCAGGTGAGGACAGCAGGTGCAGGCAGGAGGACGGGGGAGGGCAGGGGGGGAGGGCAGCACGCTTCATGCTAGGCCCTGGCCTGGGACAGGTCTGCAGATGGCCGCACGCTGGTCTGGCAGGAAGGACAACCAGGCATACACACACAACTTCCAAAGGGAAAACTGTGCATGAGGACATCCGCTGGGGTCGTCACTGCAGCCAGTGACAGGTGGCAGGTTTGGTGGGTGCAGCACTGCACAGGGAGGGGACACGGCCGGCACGGGGCTGGTGTGAGCTGAGGCCCAGCTGCCACATGAGGTTCTGGAGCCTCCTCCTCTTTCACCACAGCCAGCTGCGGGCTGGTGCCACCCCGAGGTGGTCAGCCACCGCGGGGATATCTCAATCTCCCCCACCTCTCCTCCTGGCCTGTTGCCACCCCACCCTGTTCCTGCTGAGAAAGCAGGTGGATGCCACACGCTTTCATCCCAGGAGTGCAGAGATGGGCGAGATGAAAGATAATTACAGAAAATAAACGATCCTTTGGGGGGAAAATCTCTTCTCTCCTTTTCTGCTTCTAGGACATAATGAGGCTTCTTTCGACTTCTGCTGACCTTTGCCACTCATCCCCCACAGCCCATCAGGGCCACCACCAAACCGAGAGAGCTCCTTAGTGGGGGGCTCGGTACCCCCCCCCCCCAACACATCAAACACAGCAGGTTTGACCAAGGAAGGGGGATGGAGCACACTGGAAACCGCGTGACTCGGGCTACCGGCCAGCAACGCCAATAACTTTCATGCATTAATGGCCAGCACCATCCCCTCTCGCTGTGGGTCTAAAATGCCACTGTCTTCCCACCTCATCTGCTCAAGGAAGCCTGCTCTGGGTAGGCATCACATGGACCCCAAACCCCAAGCCCCAGAAGGTAGATGTGGCCAAGCCGGTAAGCCCCTGCTGTTCGGCTCCCGGAGGAATAAAAGAACAGACTGGAATCAGGGTTCCACCTGGGCTGCCCCAGGCAAACCAAGGAGAATGTTTGTCTCCACCCCCTAGAACCAGACAGAGCAACCCCCTGCCATCCTTCACTGGCCACCACCACACATCCCCAACCCTACTGGGCAACAGAGGGTCCTGGTGTGCCTGCTTCCCCACGTACATCAGGGCTCTGGGGAGGACGGCCCCCAGACAGCCCGGCCGGGTTCCAGGAGTGGCCTAGAGTTTCATCCATTAGTTAGCTGGATCTGGCCTCTTGCCCACCTTTTGTGTCCTGCCAGAGTTTTTCAGATGCCCTGGTGAGGCCCATGGAGGAGGAGGAGGGGGAGGAGGAGGGCAGGGTGGGGAAAGGAGGCTCAATCCCGCACCCCCCCCTCCACCCCTCAGGTCACCTCCTACCACCCACCCCTCAATCTGCGCCTGTAAGGAGTGGCCTACCTCTCCATTCTGGCCTTTTCTTGGGTGTCAGTGCATCTCAGACCATACCAGGAAGCTGGTTATTCAAGTGCACACCAGGCGACCGCACTCAGTGCAAACACTCCCAAGCGGGACCGTCCGGGGCCGTGAGGCTCACAACACATCTCTCATCCGGGAGCCTCTCTGTTTTCAAGTCAGCACAAACTAGAAGCTACTATGAGTCACCAGTGAGGGAGAAGGCTCTTCCACCTCCGCAGCAGGCAGGATCACTTGACTGCCCAGCCCACAGGCACCTGCACACCTCCACGTCACAGGTGTCCAGCCTCCAGCTTCACCCAAGTTTCCTGCAGCTACGGCCAGGGCCAGAACAGGAGAGAGCCAGGAGCCACGCACTACCATCTGAGAGCCTGCCTGGCCCGGCAGACATCATTGCTGCCAGATGGCTGGCACCGACATTCCACATTACATACCCATTCCTTTGGCATTAAAGGCTTAGGAGCCCATCCCCTGATGAAAGGCAAACACCCCGGGGAGAAGGACGCACAAGCCTCCCCAGAGCCCCGCTGCCCCTCATCTCCCTCAGGCTGAGAAAGTGCTGAGCCCCCAGGAAGGGCCCAGAATCTGTGCCTGTTTCCATCCCAGCTCCTAGAACCCCACACACATCTGAGTCCCCCACCCCCAGTTCTGACAGTTGCTAAGTTTCTGGGCTGTCCCAGGCCTGATTCCTGGCCAACGCACAGACGCACATTCATACCCCACTATCCACGGGGTGCCTGGATCCCTGCAGGCGCCGGGTTTAAACAGATGCTCCAGGGCCCAGTGGGCATATGTCAGGGGTGGGGGAGAGGTAAGAAGGGAACCCCTGGGCCACCCAGACTGCCCAATGTCCAGCCACAGCGGAACGTCCTACATGGGGTCTCGAGAGATGCACAGAGGGCAAGCAGAGGCTGTGACCAGACAACCCACCATCGTGCAGGACCTTGTCCCGGCAGCCCCATTGGAACCTAGGACAGCCCAACCACTGATCCCACAGGCCTCTCCCAAATCTGCTCACTGTCCTGGCCTGAAAACAGGGACCAGGGGAACCTGGGGTGCACAGACCCTGCCCACAAGGAGAGGGAGAGAGACTAAGTCTCTGGTCCCCGAGGGTGGAGCCATGGTCTCTGAGTCATCCCAGCCCATGGCCACCCTTGTGCATTTTCCTTCTGGACAAATGGAAGCGCTCAGGTGCCCAACAAAGAAACAACTGGCTACACAGGCAGCGCCAGCATCTGGTAAGAATGACCCACCAGGTGGAAGGAAGCTCAAGCCACAAGAGAACAGGGACCAGCAGCAAATATCTTTAAAGGGCCATCAACATTCAATCAGTAAGAGGCGTCAGTGGAGCATGGGACTCCTGATCTTGGGGTCGTGAGTTTGAGTCCCACGTTGGGTGTAGAGATTACTTAAAAATAAAATACTTCAAAAAAAAAAAAAAAAAAAAAAAAGAAATTGTTAACAAGTTTCTAACATCTGCTTCACTCAGCCACAAGCATTAAATTCAGTGACTGGGTTTTTCCAGATTTTGTTTTTACTATTAGTTTATCTCTAGGTCCCCTACAGCGAGGCTGGGGTACCCTCCTCTAGCTCTCTAACCCACCCTCCTATAGCTGGTCATCAAGATAAAGGCTGTTGTGGTTAAAATATCATTCAGGTCCTGAGATTTACAGCAGCTTCCAGTGCTGCCTTTCCAAGTGGGGGTCCTAGCCGGGCGGCTGGCACTGGGAGGGGGGTGGAGGTCCTACCCGGGCAGTTGGCACTTGGAGGGGGGCAGGGTCCTACCCGGGCGGCTGGCACTTGGAGGGGGAAGGGGGTCCTACCCGGGCAATCCTACACTGAAGTTCTCCAACACACCAGTTTAGTTTGAGAGAGACTGAAGGTTTTGAAAACTGATCTGAGCCAAGAATGCAGAACGATAAAATGCAGATTCACATACAGGAGAAAAGTCTACATTTCAAATCCTAGCAGATCTGTTTTACTTGAATTAAACATCTCATTTACTAAAAATGTGGAGAATTATACTATTCTTGGAGACGACCCACCCCTCAAACCAGGTGTCTCTGCCTTAGCACTGCTGCCACTTGGGCCCGGGTCACTCCTTGTACTGGGACCGCCGCGTGTACTGGGGGTGGTAGCAGCATTCCTCCCTGGACTGCACCACTCAATGCCATGGCACCCCTACCTGCCCATCATCCGGGCCAGCTGGTCACCTGGAGAATGGCCTTCTTGGAACCTACTCACAGGACAATCCAAGCTCACACCCCCTCAACCAGAAGGCGCCTCACCACAACCAGCTTCAGGACTGACACAAGTGGTACACTAGGACCCCCACCCCACACACTTGGACCCCAGGAGGTCATCTATGCCTTCGAGCAAGGGCCACGCTTGGCATGGGTGTCTATATAAGACGAGGACTTCAGTCCTTGTTCATGGCACATGGGGCGAGACCCGCCCCACGCGAGAGCTCTGGGGCCACTCACTCCTCCTCAGTCTCTGTCTCTGGAACTTTTCAGAAACCAACGCCACCTTCCACACAGGGCCCTGCCAAGCTGTCTGCCAACTCACAGTCCCCACGTGCACACACACACACACACCCTTTGCTGCTGAGGGGACTCCTGCCAGCACCACAACGAGAAGGGCTCTGCGGTGGAGAAGGCTCCTCGAGGGCCGGCCTCACGGGAACCCCTGAGAGGTCCTCACTCACCTCACTAACCCGGGTGAGCTCCTGTGCCACCTGACTCGCTGCCGTTGTCTCCACTCCACATGGGGTGGCCCTTGTAACACCCACCCACAAAATGCCTCCGGAAGCTGGGACCAGCTCCACAATTCAGGTCAGCAAGGCTCTGCACCTCTCTGGAGAGTGAATCACCCTTGGCTCCCACCCAAAACTTGACGTGTCAGAGGCTGCAGCTGATGTCAAAAACACACAGCCAATCCACATATCAGAAGAAACACAGGGGCAGTATGAATGGCCACAGCACCCATTTCCGATTACAGTCTCGAGCACAGAAGAGGAGCAGGGAGCCAGGACCACACCCCATCACGGCTCTCAGGTCCGACCTATGGCCGTTCTCAGGGCACGTGTGTTCACCCTCCTCAAACACGCCTCCTGAGACTGTGTTGTTTCCCCACGTGCAAAACACCCACAACACTAACGGGGCCACACACGCCCAATGCCCATCGCACGGGGGGCCCGTCTGCCAGCAGCAGGCGGGTTCTCACAGAGACCGTGGGAGGGGAACACTGCCCTCCCCGCCCCGGAGGTTGCCACTCACCTGACTGGGCACGCAGGTCTGACTCCGCGTGCCGGCTGGTCAGCTCGTACTGGAAACCCGTGGTCCTCCGGCTAATGTCCTGCTGGGGCGTTGCCTCCACGAACAGGCCCCGCTGCTCGAAGCCAAAGCAGTGCACCTGGCGGGGCCCACGGTCCCCGTCCCGCACCAGCAGCTGCAGCTCTCCAGTTTTTTCCAAATAAATATTGGCGCCCGAGGAGTCCCTGAGGGGCTTGATGCACAGAGTCAGGTGTCGTCGGGAGGGCGGGAAGGTGTTGGGCCGCACGTTGACGATGAGAGCCCCAGTCGGGTACATCCACTCCACAGAGCCCGCCGAGCACCGTAGGTACACCTGCTCCACCTCCTTCCTGTGGGCCTCGTGCGTCAGCCCGCTGCAGAGGGGACACGCGTCAGCCGGTGCCCGGCACCCCACATGTACCCGCCTGGGGGACGCCCACCCAGGTGCATGAGCAGCCCCTCACCCACATGCGGGCTGCCACCACCTCTGCCCTGCTGCAAGGGGCCGTTTCCAGGGAGCGACAGTCCCCTCCGGCAGGCCTGCCCCAGAGAGTCACGGTGACACGGGCCCACGCCCTGATGCGCGTAGACAATGTTTGTCTCAGACCCTCTCAGCAACTCGACGCTCCATCTGCCAGCCTTCAAGGCTGCAGCACTGGGCGCCCATGCCCTTGGGGCTCCCCGCGTCAGGGTGGCGATGCATGCAATGGGGGAAGAACCACGGAAGGGGGGACCTTCCGGAACACGTTCAAGGACACACCAACAGGACTCTGGCATAAACCCGAGTTCCAGATGACCAACCGAGGGCCAGAACGATGGCAGATTCCCACTGAGTGTGAAAACAAGGAGCGGTTCACTTGGTCCAAAGAGTAGCTTTGAAACCAAATAGGAATGTTAGCAGCTTGGGGGGGCTGGAGGTTGTCGGTGACTTTTGTCTTTAGCACCTCACAGATAGGGGCAAGTGTTTCCATTTGCAAACCTGAAGACCCTGCATTGCCAATCATATCTTTAAAAATAAACTCAAATATCATCACAGCAAATTACAAAAGTAAGGTAATGGTCCTCCATGGGGGAGAGGCATGGGAGGGAATGCGTGAACAAGCCACAGGAGAGAGACGCAAACAGTGAGCAGACCTTTCATCTTCCCAAGGGGAAGCTTCTACCAAGTTAATCTCACTCCTAATAAATGCTAAATAGGAAAAAATGAAGTCTGTACACTCTTCGTGAGACAGGTCTTGAGTAAAGTCATTACGTTATGTTTTCAAGAAATTGAAACCATCAAAAACGTTAAAGTTTCCCCTACTCGAAATTTTAATGTGAATGTCAGCTTGTGCTGATGGTTACGTCATAACCACCAAGCAGCCCTGGAACTCAACCAATGACTTCAACCAAGTGTTTTATTACATGAAATTTGGTTCTGATCGGATCTCAGACAGGTTCACCCACATTCTTAGGATTTTTATGTGTAATAAACAATGCTATATTCAGAGCCCAGGCCTGGGTGAGTTACCAGAAACCTTTTCTACAGAGGAGAAAACGCGTAACATATGGTTTGCATTTACTGTTGGTGACTCATGCTCTGGGCTCCAAAAAACCTCACTTTTCATTCGATGGCCAGCTGTGGGCTGGGGCTGCACAGTCATCCTGCAGACCACATCAGAGGGAGGTGTCAAGGAGGTGACCCCCCCCAACCCCGCTCCCCGCCCCCGCAAGGCCCTGGGTCACTAGCAGCCGGCCTGGCCTCAGACGCCTACCAGAGCCACACACGCAAAACAGACTTACAAATTACAGTCAAATAAAACTCATATAAGCTCCTCTGACACATATGTGTGGACGAGCATAATTATAGTGCTGTGTGAAAAAATTAGACTAAATGGTAAGTGGTTGACACAGATGACTATAATCACCTCTGCTCTCGGGCAGCCAAAACAAACTTTATCACAGTGTCCCTCCTCTCCTGTCTCCAGCCTCAAGGGGCAGCTGGACACTTGCCCTGTGCCCAGACACCAATCCTCAAAGCTCTCTCCCCTAAAAACCATCCTGTCCAGGCTTCACTTTCCTCTCCGTCGGGGAGGGACCCTGGGGCTCAAGGGAAAAGAAAGCCCATACCAAAGGCTTCGGATACTTCTCACTAAGTCACTTTAATCCAAACAGTGGACAGGGAAACAGAGAGGTCCACCCCCCACCCATATCTTAGGCAAGGGCAGAGGGAACGCTTGTGGGGGACAGATGGCCAGCCCATGGCTGTCCCCAGCCTGCACAGATGACCCTGTACATCTTGTGCACTACACCTGGCTCCATTTATTCATAAGTCACTCGACTATAAGAGGACCGGGAACAACACGAAAGTGGACTTAGAAGAAATGTCCACCCTTTACCTGACGTCTTCACTGCCACCCAGAGAATTGTCTATGCCCATCCCAGGGTCCACGGCCAGCACGCCCCTCTGTTCTGCTCTCCCTCATGTTCTCCTGAAGGACTGAGATCAACAAGACGTGAGCCAGGCACTCAACACAGGAGTGTTCACATGAAGGTCGGTAGCATGTGATGTGCAAGACCGCCACTCAGATGCTCACCGACTCTGATCAGCCTGGGACCCCACTGAGCCTTTAATGAAAGAAATCAAGGACTCCGAGCCTGTCTGGTGCTCACCAGAACATCTAGCTAAATCTCTCACCTCTAGGTTTCCAGCACCACAGCAAACCTGAAAAAACTTCTGTTTATGCAAAATTGCTGGAGGTGGAAAAATGTGCCACATCTGTGATGTCACTGATGGTGGCATTAATGATTTTCACATGGCATGCAAGTGACACACTAATCAGGCAAAAATAAGATACCTGCTTTCTGATGTGATGAAGCTAGACAGAAAACACTCTGGTTCTAGTCACTCTTACGGAGCTGACAACACTGATTGATCTTGGGCTATTTAAACTAGATTCCTTTATTTCTCAAAAAACAACAACAACAACAAAGAGCCCGCCAGTGTCACTCCCCAGGGAAGTGTAGACACACCTTCAGGCAAAGGACAGCAAATTCCAAACCGACATGGGACTTTCTGCAGGGGTCAGTGTGGTGGCAGCAGGGTTCTTACTACTCACACCCACAGCCTGGCTCACCTGAGTCACCAGGAGTAAATTATGGTCTCTTGTTCACTTAAGTCAGGAAGAGCTTCGATCAAGGGCGAAACCCAGAGGTTATCACTGGAGTTACCTTTCATCTCCCCACCCAGTAGGAGAGCTAGCCAAGGTATGACAGACCCACAAACCCTGCCGACGGCAGTGGGAAGGTTCGTGGTCCACCTTTACAACCACAGCCTAATAAAGATCAGGGCGCTGTCCTGCCCCTGCACAAGGGATCGAGATTGCAAAACCTCCTGCTTAATTGCTTGGAAACACCCAGACACGCATTTCAGCCTGTCAAATGTGAGTGGCCAGTATCATAAAGAGCAACTCCCTCCCTATCAGGGGATCGGAACGCACCCAGGGTATTGGGGCTCACACCACCCTGTGCTGTCTTTAGAACAGCTCATAAAAAGTCATAAATGTTACAGGAGTCTGCAGGCAAACCAGCAAACCCAAGTTTCCACAGCAAGGATCTGTCAGCTGATCTGCAAGGCATATCGATCACTAGGGCAGCAATTAAAATGGAAGGGGAGCTTATAATCCAGGAATGTGGCCTGGGCCTGTCTTCCGTCCAGATCCCACTGGGACAGCCCCTGCAGCCACCCTCTGCCAGCAGACTCTGCCTCTGCGCTGAGTGGAGGGCAGCTGGAGGCAGTCCAAGACCCGGGGTATGTTAGCAAAGATGGAGAGAGGAGGGCAGCAGGTAAGCATCCCTGCTTCTCCAGGTAGAAAAGAGGAGGCAGACCCCTGCTTGGTCCAGGAGCTGGTTGGCTCTAATGACCAGCACTCACTCACAGCCCTCTCTGATCCCCAGGAGAGGCAGCCCCCTTCCAGGCACACAGTCCTCAGAGAGCCTGAAAGGGTGTCAGCTCCTCCTCTGGAAACTCAGGCTCCCAGGGTGGGACAGGCTTTCTGTTTTTGATCTGCTGAAGCAGGACACCCTAGACCTCAGTTTAGGGGTGCACTGATTCATCCAGCAGAAGCTGCAAGGCAGGGAGTTTAATTAGGAGCGTGGGGGAAAGGGCAGCCCTGGAAGAGTGTGTCAGAGTCAGAGGCTCCCAGCCAGCCCTGTGCTGGCGCCAGCATTCTGCAGGCCAGCCCTCCCCCAGAGCTCCAAGCTCGTGGCCCCAATCTTAGCAGCCCTGCATCCCAGCTCTGGTGTGCGTGCAAGGGAGGGAGGGCACCACAGGCCGGATCTCTGGAGCCCAGAACCCCGGCTTCGGCGGTGGGAAGTGGGGAGCAGAGAGCAGGGCGATTGCCAGTCTCCACAGAGAACTGGCTCTGTAAGTATCCAAGATGACCAGCGGCCGCCCTGCTCACACAGAGCCCAGCACCCTGGCACAACCCCCCAAGCTTCCCGGAAAAACTGTCTTCACTCAAAAAAAACCCGTGACACCCTCCCCCCCCCC